ACATATTTATTGTTCATAATTTTTATCTTTATTTTCTTCCTCTTCCTTCAGCAATTCATAAAATTCTGGTTTGGCGGTGATGAACTCCTTTAGCTTTTTTTTATTTGTGAAGCTCTTTATCTGGCCTTCGATTCTGAGTGATAGCTTTGCTGGGTAGATTATGTTTGGCTGTAGGTTCTTGTTATTCATCACCTTGAATATTTCTTGCCATTCCGGTCTGGCCTGCATGGTTTCTGTTGAGAAATCAGATGACAATCGTATGGGTGCTCCTTTATAGGTAACTACCTGCTTTTCTCTTGCTGCTTTTAATATTCTCTCTTTGTCTTTTGCTCTTGGAATTTTAATTATGATGTGTCTTGGTGTGGTCCTCTTTGGATTCCTTTTGTTTGGAGTTCTGTGCGCTTCCTGGACTTGTAGGTCTATTTCTTTCACCAGGAGGGGGAAGTTTTCTGTCACTATTTCTTTCAATATGTTTTCAATATCTTGCTCTCTCTCATCTTCTGGGACCCCCATAATTCTGATGTTGGTTCGCTTGAAGTTGTCCCAGAGGTTTCTTATACTATCTTCAACTTTCTGGATTCTCTTGTCTTCTTGCTTCTGTGGAGGAGTGTCCTCTGGTTCTTTGCGTTCCAAATCTTTGACTTGATTCTTGCGATCTTCCATTCTGTTTTTAGGACTCTGTATAATATTTTTTTATTTCGAACAATGTGTCCATTATTTCTAGTTGATCCCTTTTCATATCCTCATAGGTCTCATTTATTTTATTGGCCTTTTCTAGGAAATTCTTGAAAAAACTTATAAGCGTAGTTTAGAACTCTATATCCAGTTGCTTTTTTTCCTCCATTTCTTTCATTTGTGATCTGTTTCCTTGTCTCGACATTTTTGCTGCTTCTCTGAGTTGGTAGGGTGGCTTTGTGTGTTAAGGTATCCTATATGGTTCAGTGGGTCAGCCTCCCAGTTATCTGAGGTGGACACTCTTGGTGTACCCCTTTGTGGACAGTGTGGACAGTCTTTTGTATCAGATCTAGTAATAATTAATGTCGTTTTTCAACATGCGTTTAAAATCTTGCTTGGTGTTGACTTGTATTGACATAACCTTCAAACACGTGGTATCTACAGAACGTGTGAAGTGCAATTAACAAGTTTTGCTTGAAAAAGTTTGTGTTTGGTTTGGTTTTTGTTGCAAAACTAGGGCTAAGAAGATGGCGGATGAAGAGCATATTCGGCACTGCATGCTTTACGAGTTCCAATTAGGAAGAAAAGCAAGTGAGGCTGCAAAAAACATCTGTAGTGCTCTTGGTCAAGATGCAGTTAGCGCCAGAAAATGCCAGCGTTGGTTTGAGAAATTTCGCGAGGGAAATTTTTCGTTAGATGACAAGAGTGGTTGAGGCCGTGTGTCCAATTTTGATCAAGAAGCTCTTCAAGCTCTTTTGGTGCAAAATCCTCAAATTACCCAACAAGAGCTTGCGACAACTTTAAATTGTTCACAGAAAACAATTTCCAATCAATTGCATGCACTTGGCAAAGTCCAAAAGTTTGGAAAATGGGTTCCTCATGAGTTGACCGACAACAACCGTAATCAAAGAGTCACAATTTGCAGTTCGCTCCTCTCCCGTCAAAACCGTTTGCCGTTTTTAGAGCAAATTTTTACCGTAGAAGAACAAAGCGTGCTGTATGTTAATTTGAAAAGGCGGCCTCAATGGTTGGACAAAAATGAGCCTCTGAGCCCACGCCAAAACCTGACTTGCATGCGAAAAAAGTGATGTTGTGTGTTTGGTGGAATTTTAAAGGAATTCTTCATTATGAACTTTTACCATCTAACCAAACCATTACAAGTGCAGTGTATAGTGCCCAATTGGAAAGGTTAGCCCAAGCTTTAAGAGAAAAAGAACCCGCGCTGATTAATCGGAAAGGCGTAATTCTTCACCACGATAACGCACGACCTCATACTGCAAGAATTACTGCTGAAAAACGGCGCCAGTTGGAATGGGAAGTTCTCCCTCAACCTGCATATTCTCCTGATATTGCCCCTTCCGATTACCATTTGTTTCGTTCTTTGCAAAACTTTCTTCTTGGAAAAAAATTTAATAATGAAGAATGCCTCAAAAATGCATTGACCGAATTTTTTGCATCAAAATCACAAGAATTTTACAACAGAGGGATTAAAATGCTTCCTGAGCATTGGGCACAAGTAGTAGAAAACAACAGCAACTATATTGTTGATTAAATTTTGTTGTATTGTTTAAATAAATTCGATTTAAAAATGTATTAGAAAACGACATTAATTATTACTAGACCTAATAGTAAAGTCTTAATTTTTGTTGGTTTCACTGGGAGGAACTGTCCTCCAGGCCAATTGGCTGTGAGGATCAGCAGTGTCTATTGCTGGTAGAGAGCCTTATTCAAAAGCCTCTGTGCTCAGCTTGGATGGGGTGGAGTTTCAGGGTGGAGCCTACAGCCTTGGCTTCCTGTCAGCTCCTCCCTATGAGGTTCCTGAGTCTCAGTGTTCCGCAGTGTCCTTTGGTACTCTCTGCAAGCACCTCTGAGAGAAAGGTGCCCTCGAGTTTCGCCCACTACCGGACAGTCTAGTCTCTCCCCCAATGATCCCAGAACTGGGGTTCAGTGCAGTTGGAAGTGGGGTTCAGTGCAGTCCAGAGCTTTTATCTCCTTCCCGCTAAGGAACGCCAACCAGGCACTCAACTGCCCCTCCTCTCCGGCTCCATTCTCTCCCCACAGGCACACCTTGTCTCCGTACCTTAGGCTTTTACGGCTCCTCTGATTTTCCTTCTGGTTTTCTCTTTCCTTTTAGTTGTAGAATTTCCAGTCAGTCAACTTTCCTGTAGTTCTGGGTAATGTCTACTTTATATTTTAGTTGTATTTTTTGAAATTGTTGTATGAGGCTGCAGTTAGGCGTTTACCTATGCTGCCATCTTGGTTTCCTCCCATTGGTACCCATTTTTGTTGTTGTTAATCCTCACCCAAGGATATTTTTTCCATTGATTTTTAGAGATAGTGGAAGGAAGGGAGGGAGAGAGAGAGAGATTGATGTGAGAGAGACACATTGATTGGTTGCTTCCTGCACACGCCCAGAGTGGGTACTATGAGCCAGGGGTTGAACCTGCTACCCAGTGACATGCCCTTGTCTAGGAATGGAACCAGCGACCCTTGGTGCATGAGCCAACGCTCTAACCAGCGAGCAACACCAGCCCGAGCAATTACCTATTTTTATTAGCCTCTCTCCCTTTAGCCTGTCAACCTAAATACCCCATCATGGGAGCTAGAGTGAGCACTGAGGAAGGGTTGACTCTTATTCTCAATCATTTTAAACAACTTCTTTATTTGCCCCAACGTCGATCAACTGAAGAGAAGTTTAAGGGCAGGACCATCAAGGTCCCCTGGGCCTTTGTTTTCAACCAGTGTGGCTGTTGCCAGTGGGCTTACATCAGAGCAGCCCGCTTTGAGGGAGGTTCTTCCCTCTCCACATTTTCTTGATCCTCTTGCCCCTTCATTCAGGGGTGTCCCAGGCCTTAGTGTTGGCCCCCCTTTCCCTGGCTCTCTCTCTGGATGGAGCTGGTCCCAAGGCTTCAGCTGACTGACATCCAACTGACTCTCAAATTTGCTTTCCATTCTAGCATCTCATCAGAGCTCTGGGCCTGCCCTGTAGCCCCAGGACACCTCCAGGTGGATGAGTATTTCCCAGAAACAGGCATTTCACGTTCCACCCAGCTTCCCCTCTCTGCACCCCAGTTTCTTTCAGGGGGATGGTTATTTTTCCAGTCACCCAGGCTTGAAACCCAGGGTTATCTTTGACTCTTCTTTCTCTTCCAAAGTACAATAGATTCCATAAGTGTTGTTTTTCTTATTTTTATTGATCTGTTACAGAGAAAAAGGGATAGAGAAACATCAATGAGAGAGAAACATCAATCAGCTGCCTCCTGCTCACCTCTTATTGGGGATGTGCCCACAACCACGGTACATACCCTTGACTGGAATGGAATCTGGGACCTTTCAGTCCACAGGCTCTATCCACTGAGCCAAACTGGTTAGGGCAATTCCGTAGTGTTGAATTCAGTGTAATCAGTGCAGCTTGACACGGAATCTTTCAGTGGCTTCCTGTTTTCTGCAGGATAAGATTTAGATTCCTTGGCCTGGCTGGCACTCCAGGCTCCCTGTAATCTTGTGCAGCTGTGCTCCTGTATGACTCCTGCAGACCCTTCCTCCAGCCAGCTGGGCCCTTTCCCCAACCTTAGAGCAAGCCACACTCCTTCCTGATGCAAGCTCATGGCCTTCCTCCCCTACCCCTGCATGCCTCTCTTCCTCCTTTCCGTCAGCCTCATTTCTCCTGCCCGCTTCCAAGATTCAGCTCCAGTCCCGCTCCGATCCTCCCAACCTTCAGCCTTCTCTTTTCCTGAGTAATGCTTGGGGTCAGCACCCAGCCATGCCCGTTGCGTGTACATCTGTGCCTTCCCCCTGGGACAGGGAGGCTTTCTCAGGGCCCAGCGCCCCGTCATGAACACAGCTGGTGTTCACTTCAAACAGCCCCTCCCTGTTATCGAGCACTCTCGGCCCGCATGGCACAGGGTTACACTTGTTTAACCAAATGCTTCCTCAATGTAACCTCCTTTCCTTCCTGCTCAGGGAGAGGGCTTTAGAAACGGGGACAGTTCTGAAAAGACTGTGGGGGCTGGGATGCGGAGATTGGCCTCTGAGGCCTGCCTAAGCCATCGTACCACCGCTGGTCTCTCCCAGGCTCCCGTCCCACTGTGGTCTCCCCTCCCCTCGCTCTTGTCTCCCTGCCAAACATATCCCAGAAGCCCTATCCTGGGACCTTTGGTTCAGGTGGAAAGCCACTCTTTCGGCTGGCTCTCTGCTCCTCTGAACCCTGATGTGAATGTGGTGTGTGTTTTTTGCCTTTTATCTCATTTCCTCCTCCTTCACGTCAGCTAATGATTATTCAGAGGACTTAACCTAGTGTCCTTATCTGTGTCCATTTTCTTTAGGGCAAGGTCACAGAGTGATGTCATGGTCATGTGACTGCTGCCTGTACTCATTCCCTCTGCTTCCCTGGTATTAACAGTCTGAAACGCAAATTGTGCAACCTGCCTCCAGCTCACCGGCACGGAGACCTGAGCAGAAAAGTAAGCCTCTTGTTGCGTTAGGCGGGCCGTGGCCACGAGATTTCACCTCATCTGTGCTCACTGCCTTCTTTCCTCTCACCTGTTTCTCCTGGCTTCTCCCTGGTGCTATCATTTGTTCTTGTCTACACAGTGACGGCCAGGACCGAGCTGCAGGACTGGGGCCTGAGGCGCACTAAGGGATTGGGGTTCTTGGTTCATACGCAGGCTGAGGAGGCAATAACTCCTGCTCTGCTCACAGATTTTGTCCCGATGGCTGACTCTACTCCACTCCTCTCCCCGGACTGGGACCCCGCGGCCGCAGAAGCCTTGCTTCGGGACGTGTTTGGGATTGTTGTGGATGAAGTCGTTTGGAAAGGGACCAGTGCCTCTGAGAAGGTGGGTCCTTTCTCCCTGTTCTGTCTGTCCACCAACCTGGCTCAGAACTGTGCTCCTCCAAGAAGACTTTTCCACAGACTTCTCCCACCGTGTGCCTCAGGGATTATATACTGGGTCTTACTGTGCTTATTTCCCCTTGATCATGTGCTGCTTTAAAAATACCCCTGACGTGTTGCTTTAAGTGCATGTTGGTGGTGTCTCGTGTAGACTGAGAAGTGGTCTGGGCAGCAGTCAGTGGAGTGTCTGAGGGCCCCCGCGTCTCCCCCCAGGTCTGTGAGTGGAAGGAGCCGGAGGAGCTGAGGCAGCTGCTGGACTTGGAGCTGCGGAGCCAGGGGGAGTCGAAGGAGCAGATCCTGGCGCGGTGCCGGGCTGTGATCCGCTACAGCGTGAAGACCTGTGGGTCCTGGGTTCTGGGAGGGGAGAGTGCCAGCGTCTGGAGTTTGTACCCGGCTCGACGCTGAGCTCCTGTCCCCTTTCCAGGTCACCCTCACTTCTTCAACCAGCTCTTCTCAGGCTTGGATCCCCATGCTCTGGCCGGGCGTATTGTCACCGAGAGCCTCAACACCAGCCAGTGAGACATGCCAAGGCCCCTTCCACCACCCCTCAGAGGACATGGGTTTGCACAAGCCATGCCGAGGGGGAGGGGAAGAAAATGATTTTCCCCATCTCTGTTCTGCTGGCAGGGTCTTCCCCTTTTTGCCCTGCAGGCTCCCTTTCTCTAAGCTTTCTCCTGCCTCTTGACCCTCGTTTGTTCTCATTTAAAAAAAATTTTTTTTAATTGGTTTTTAGAGAAGGAAAAAGTGAGGGAGAGGAACATTGATTTGTTCCATTTATTCATGTATCCATTGGTTGACTTTTTTTGTTGTTATTGTCAGTCTTCACCTGAGGATATTTTTTCCACTGATTTAAAAAAATATATATATTTTATTGATTTTTTACAGAGAGGAAGGGAGAGAGAGAGAGAGAGAGCCAGAAACATCGATGAGAGAGAAACATCGACCAGCTGCCTCCCGCACACACCCTCACCCGGGATGTGCCCGCAACCAACGTACATGCCCCTGACGGGAATCGAACCCGGGACCTTTCAGTCCACGAAGCTCTACTGCTGAGCCAAACCAGTTTCGGCTCCACTGATTTTTTTTTTTTTTTAGAAAGAGTGGAAGAAAGGGAGGGAGAGAGAAAAAGAGAGAGGGAGAGAAAAGCATCGATGTGAGAAAGACATATTGATTGACTGCCTCCTGTACCCACCCTGACTAGTACATGCTCTTGACTGGGAATTGAACCCCCCAACACTCTAACCACTGAGCAACATTGGCCAGAGCCATTGGCTGATTCTTGTATGTGCCTGACTGGGAATCAAATTTACAGCCTTGGTGCGTTGGATGACGCTCTAATCAGCTGAGCTACCCCACCAGGCCTGCTCGCATTCTTGCTTCCTTGGTTCTTTGTCACCAACTCCTTCCTCTCTTTGGGCCCTTCGCCTTTCTCATTGTCCCTTCTCCTGGCAGGTACACGTATGAAATCGCCCCCGTGTTTGTCCTCATGGAAGAAGAGGTGCTGACAAAGCTCCGGGCGCTGGTGGGCTGGAGCTCTGGGGACGGGGTCTTCTGCCCTGGTATGTGAGAAGGAGGGGTGTCTTCCTTTGGCCTTTTAAAGGGTTCTTCCTTCCCCACGTTCCCTGCTCTAATCTGGCAGGGCTTAGAGCTCTTTGTTTCCTCTCCAGCTGGGCTCTGGCCAAACCAGACAGAGGCTGCCCAATACCCTGCCTCCCCGTTTGCCAAACAGTCCGTGGGATCGATGCTCCTGTGCCTGCTCACCCCGGGTGGCAGGTGTCCGGGAGACAGGCCAGGCTGTGTAGGGGGGAGTCAGGGGACCTAGATCCCTGGGCTGTTCTGGGCCCTCATGGCATTGGTAGAGACCTGGGAGCCAATCCTTCATGTTTGTTTTTTTTATCAGTTCTTCTGGGTAGAGAGGTCAAAAGGGGCAAGCTTCAGTTTTTTGTTTGTTTGTTTGTTTTGTTTTTTAATATATTTTATTGATTTTTTACAGAGAGAAAGGGAGAGGGATAGAGAGTTAGAAACATCGATGAGAGAGAGTCATCGATCAGCTGCCTCTTGCACACCCCCTGCTGGGGATATGCCCGAAATCAAGGTACATGCCCTTGACCGGAATTGAACCAGGGACCCTTCAGTCCCCAAGCCGACGCTCTATCCATTGAGCCAAACCGGTTTCTGCAAGCTCCAGTTTTGACCCACTGTCTGTCCCTCTCGTCACCACCATCCCTTCTCCCCGTGACAGGCGGCTCTATCTCCAACATGTATGCCGTGAACCTGGCCCGCTATCAGCGCTATCCCGACTGCAAGCAGAGGGGCGTCCGGGCACTGCCGCCCCTGGCCCTCTTCACAACGAAGGAGGTGGGGAGGAGGCACAGGCCTACCCTAGGCTCCCGATTCTAACCTCTAGCCAGTCAGGTTCTCTGCCTGCCCAGACCCATCTCTTCCAAGGGCAGCCTGCCCCCACGTACGTGTGCTTCCTTCGAATCAGGGGGCTCCCATGCACCTTGCCTTCAGTTGTGGGGGAGGGGATGGAAAGGGACAACTAGTGAGGTGGACACAGTCCACACCCTTTCCACCCAGAGGGTGGTCCTTGGCCCAGCAGCATCAGCATCACGGGGGCGTTTGTGAGAAATGCAGACTCTCAGGCCTCACCCCAGACATATTGTATCTGACTCTGCCTTTAATCAAAGTCCCTGGCGATTTGAAGGCTCCTGAATGCTTGAGAAGCCCAGGTCTACAGGATCTCACCTATTACAACTTACACTTGACCTTTACTAGTCTCTCTCCCCTCCCCATCCTCTCTGCCCTCTCACCCCAGCCTGGCACACTCTCTGTCTTTCTCCACAGTGTCACTACTCCTTCAAAAAAGGAGCTGCTTTCCTGGGACTTGGCACCGACAGTGTCCGAGTGGTCGAGGCAGATGAGAGGTGACAGTCCTGTCCTTGTGGCCCTGCCCGGCTCGGTGCAGCATGCCTTCCTGCTGTCAGAAGCTCTGGCCGCAGGCCACACTTCTGGTGGACTTCTCTTCACTCTCTGCTTCTACACAACAGTTGCTTCTGTCTCTCAGTGCTCAAGTCTCCTGCCCTATGCCCTGAGATGTCTTAGGGAAAATATCAACATTGTGGCCTCTGTATTGCTAACCCCACATTACCCTACTCTCAACACTTCCTAGCCTAGAGTCCAATTACTCCTTTACCCACTCCGTATTCTTTTCCAGAGGGAAGATGATCCCTGAGGATCTGGAGAGGCAGATCAGTCTGGCCGAAGCTGAGGTGAGTGAGCAAGGGGCACAGGGGTGTGATGTAGGTGGAGCTGGGGTGTGTTTTTTTCTTGGATTCTTTAAAAAAAAAATATATATATATATATATTTTTTTAATTGATTTTTTACAGAGGAAGGGAGAGGGATATATCCGAGAGCTAGAAACATCGATGAGAAAGAAACATCAACGAGCTGCCTCCTGCACAACCCCCCACCAGGGATGTGCCCGTAACCAATGTACATGCCTTTGACGGGTATCGAACCTGGGACCTTTCAGTCCGCAGACCGACACTCTATCCACTGAGCCAAACTGGTTTCGGCTCTTGGAGGGTTCTTTGGGCTCTCCCTACTCAAGGCATCCCTTATCCCTCTTCTTGATCTCTGTGCCTGCCTCCTCTGTGGGTTGAAATGGTCTGAGGGGAGCCTGAGGGCCACGGACACTCTGTGGTCCTCTCAGGAACTCTGCCGAGACCCGCAGGCAGGACTGGACCCCAAGAGGCAGGAGCAGGACTGAGTGACTGAGTGGAATTCCAAGGTGGCACCACAGAGAGGGTGTTGGCAGCCTGAAGTATAGTGTGGAAGGTTTCTGTACAGAGAGAACCTTGGGAAGGTGTGTGGGCCAGTGAGGAGTGCAGACTGAGCAGTGCGAAATGTGGAGGCCTCCACACGGGGCGGGGGAGAGGGAGGGTGGAGAAGGGACTATTGATCCGCTGCAGCCATCTTGGAGGGCATTTTGGCACTGTACCAGTACGTGTATACATTTTAAATGTATCTGTCCACTGATTCAGAGTCCCACTGCTAGGATCTATTCTATAAATCATCATCCCAGTATTTAGAATTCTGTGCACTGGAGCTAAGAATAAAATTTTTTAAAGTTTAATGTTCTTCAGTAGATAAATTATGATACCATATCTGTGTGTCTTGGTTTCTTCCTTTGTAAAATGGGTATAATGTAGAAGTTATCACAGATCATTGTAAGGATTAAGTGAATTAATATATGTAAAGCATTTAGAGCCCATGAAGTACTATACATATTGACTACCATATTGTTTTTATTATTATTGGAACATATATATAAAATACTAACATCAAAATACCTCCACCATACATTTAAGTGTGTGTATATATAAAGTTTATATAGCAAATTGCAGTAAAGGAAGGACAGTGTGATGAGCTTATTGTTATTGGGAACAACATGAATTTATTGACATACGGATGTTACCTCCAGTAGCAGTATGAGCAACAATTAGAACAGGAGAGTAGGCCCTGGCCTAGTAGCTCAGTTGGTTGGCGCGCCATCCTGATATCCCGAGGTTTGGGGTTCAATTACCAGTCAAGACACACAAGAATAAACCATTGAATGTATAAATAAGTGGAACAACAAATTTGTTTCCCTGCCCCTCTCTCTCTATCTCTCTAAAATCAATTTAAAAAAAAATAGAACAGTGGGATATCACTTTTTAAAAAAATATATATTTTATTGATTTTTTACAGAGAGGAAGGGAGAGAGATAGAGTAGAAAGTTAGAAACATCGACGAGAGTCATCGATCAGCTGCCTCTTGCACGCCCCCTACTGGGGATGTGCCTGCAACCAAGGTACATGCCCTTGACCGGAATCGAACCCGTGACCTTTCAGTCCTCAGGCCGACGCTCTATCCACTGAGAGAAACTGGTTTCGGCGGGGTATCACTTTTAATGTATAAATTTCTTTGGGTAATAGCCTTTTATTTTTTATTTACTTATTTATTTTTAACATATTTTAATTGATTTCAGAGAGGAAGGGAAAGGGAGAAAGAGATAGAAACATCAGTGATGAGAGAATCATTGTTTGGATGCGTCCTCCACAGTCCCCTACCGGGGATTGAGCCCAAACCCGGGCATGTGTCCTGACCGGGAATCGAACCATGACCTCCTGGTCCATAGGTCAACGCTCAACCACTGTGCCATGCCGGCCAGGCCTGGGTAATAGCTTTTTAAAAAAATATTTTTTTATTAAGTTCAGAGAGGAAGGGAGGGGGAGAGAGAGAGAGAGAAACATCAATGATGGGAGAGAATCATTGATTGGCTGCCTCCATATGCCTCCCACTGAGGATTGAGCTGGCAACCCAGTCATTCCTGACTGGGTATCGAACCATGACTTCCTGGTTCATAGGTCACTGTTCAGCCACTGAGCCATGCTGGTCAGGTGGCAATAGCTTTCTTTATTAAGATAGAATTACATTCGCATGCCATATAATTTACTCACGGTACAATTCAGTGGTTTTCAACATACTTACAGAGTTGTGCAACTATCACTACAATAAATATTAGAATATTTTCATCACTCTCAAAAGAAACCCCATATCTTCTGGCCATCAATCGCCAATATTCCCATACTTCCTTCCCATTAGGAAATCACAAATCTATATGGTATCTCTGTGATTTAACTATTCTGAATTTTTCATAGAAATGGAATCATCCTATACAGGGTTTTTGTAATGGACTTCTTTTGCTTAGCATGTTTTCAAGGTTCATTCATATTGTAGCATGTATCAGTTCTTCTTTCTTATTGCTAAACTAGAGGCCTAGTGCATGATAATTCATGCACTGGAGGGGGGGCCCGGCCTGCCCCCTCTTACAATCCAAGAGACCCCAGGTGTGGGAGGTGACCCCATCAGGGGAAGGCTATGCCCCATCACACCTCTGCTGCTGCCACTGCCAGCAGCGCAAATCTCTGCTGGCTCTGGTTACCTTAGCTTCCAGTAGCCCTGGGCAGCTGGAGTGCTGAGGGCGGGTCCGGCTACAACACGTGCCTGCCATTCCCCCTCCCCTCAGTGGGGCTGGTAAAAGGACTGGGGGACTCCAAGGGGGCTGAGAGATCTGGGTGCTGCCATCATGTGGCTATGGGTGCTGCCATCTTTGTGATGACTTGGCTGTCAATTTGCAACATCCCATTCTATAGATATACCATACTTTATCAATTTCTTAGTTGATGAACATTTGGGTTATTTCCAGTTTGGGCTGTTATAAGTAGTCCTGTTCTAAACATTTGTGTATACGTTTTTATGTGAATATTCTCTCCATCCCCCCCCATGCCCCCCCCTCCCCCCCGTTATATACCTGGTAGTGGAATGGCTAAGTCATGTGGTAATTCTATATTTAACCTTTGAGGAACCACCAGACTGTTTTTCAAAGTGACTGCTCCAGGGTGTGATCCCACCAGCAGTGCATATAAGGGCTCCAGTTTCTCCACATCCTCACTGACACCTGTTACTTCCCTTTTTTTTTTTTAAATATATTTTTTATTGATATTTTACAGAGAGGAGGAAGGAAGAGAGATAGAGAGCTAGAAACGTCAATGAGAGAGAAACATTGACCAGCTGCCTCTTGCAAACCCCCTACCGGGGATGTGCCTGCAACCAATGTACATGCCCTTGACTGGAATCGAACCTGGGACCTTTCAGTTCTCAGACCAACTCTCTACCCACTGAGCCAAACCGGTTTCGGCTGTTACTTCCCTTTTTGATTGTAGCTATCTTAGTGGGTGTGAAGTGATATCTTGCTGTGGTTTTATTAGTATTTCCATTGTGACTAATGATGTTGAGCATCCTGTCATGTGCTTATTTTTTTCCACTCTAGATATAAATCTCTTATCAGATATATGATTTGCAAATATCTTCTTCCAGTCTCTACGTTGTCTTTTCACATTCTTGATGGTGTCCTTTGAAGCACAAAAGTTTTATATTTGATGAGGTCCAATTTATTTTTTCTTTGGTTGCTTGTTTTTGTTTTGTTTTTTAATTGATTTCAGGGAGGAAGGGAGAGGGAAATAGATAAAAACATCAATGAGGAGAGAGAATCACTGACTGGCTGCCTCCTGCACAATTGGGGATCAAGCCCGAAACCTGGGAGTAAATCCTGACTGGGAATCAAACTGTGACTTCCTGGTTCATAGATCATAGGTCAACACTCAACCACTGAGCCACTGCAGCCGGGCTATAATTGACTTTTTAATATTGCTCTTGTTCCCTGCAAACTTGCTGGACTCATTTATTAATTCTGATATGTTTTGTTGTTGTTAATCCTCATTTGAGGATATTTTTTCCATTGATTTTTAGAGAGTGAAAGGGAGGGAGGGAAAGGGGGGAGAGACCGAAAGACTTGATCGGAAATCAAACAGGCAGTCCTTTTGGTGCATGGCCCTATGTTCTCACCACCAAGCCACACTGGCTAGGGCTAATTCTAATAGTTGTTTTAGTGGATTCCTTAGGATTTTATATAGTATCATGTTATCTGTAAACAGATTTTTTTTTTTCCTTTTCAATCTGGATGCCTCTTATTTTCTTTTCTTTCTAAGTGCCCTGCTAGAACCTCAGTACCATGTTGAATAAAAGTGAGGAGAGTGGTTATCCTTGTCTTGTTTCTGTTCTTTGGGTGAAAGCTTTTAGTCTTTCACCATTGAGTATGATGTTAGCAGTGGGCTTTTGTTTTTGTTTGTATTTTCTTTGAGAGAGAGAAAGAGAGAGAGAGAGAGAGAGAGAGAGAGAGAGAGAGAGAGAGAGAGAGAGAGAGAGGTGGATGTGAGAGAAGCATTGACCAGTTGCCTCCTGTATCCTGTATCACTAAGGATCGGACCCACCACCTAGATACGTGCCTGGCCAGGTGGTTCTGTAGCTGCCTTTATCAGGTTGAGGAAGTTCCCTTCAATTCCTAGGTTGTTGAGTGTTTTTATCATGAAGGAGTGTTGGAATTTTCTGTTTTTCTGTTTCTATTGAGATGATCAATAGACCACATTGAGATGTGTTTTCCCCCTTTGCCTACTGATAGGGTGTATTACTTTAATGGAGTTTTGGGTATTAATCCAAGCTTGCACTCCTGGAACAAATCCCATTTTGTCATGATGTATTGTTCCATTTATGTTGTTGATTTCAGTTTGCTAGTGTCTTTTGGGTTTTATCTCTATATTCATAAGATATATTATCTGCAGTTTTCTTTCCTCGTGATGCTTTGTCTGTTTGAATTATCAGGTTAATACTGGCCTCATAGGATGAATCAGGAGTGTTTCCTTCTCTCTCTCTCTCTCTCTCTCTCTCTCTCTCTCTCTCTCTCTCTCTCTCTCTCTCTCTAGAAGTCAGTGAAGAACTGGTATCGCTTCTTTTTCAAATGTTTGGTAGAATTGATAAGTGAAGCTGTTTGGGCCTGGGCGCTTTTTTTTTTTTTTTTTTTTAACTTTCATGCAATTTCTTAAAAAAAAAAAAAAAAAGATATTGATTTCAGAGAGGAAGGGAGAGGGAGAGAGAGAAAGAAACATCAGTGATGAGAGAGAATCATAGGTCGGCTGTCTCCTGCCCGCCCCACACTGGGGATTGCCCCACAACTCGGGCGTGTGCCCTGGCTGGGAATCGAACCGTGACCTCCTGGTTCATAGGTAGATGCTCAACCGCTGAGCCATATCTGCCGGGTTCAATTTCTTTATAAACTTTTGCATTACTAGAAAATTTAGAATATCATTTGACCTTCCAGTAAGGCATTAACGTTTTTTGAAAGAGGAAGAATGTTGGAGCTAGACCACCAGGCAGAGCTAGGCTTGGGTTCCATCTCTGGAGCCTCAGTGTGGAGTTTGGGGTATTATTAACCTCCCACCCACACCCCTGAATCTCAGTGTCCTCACCTGCAAATTAAAGGGGACGTAGTACCGTGTAAGGTTGAAATGACCCAGGTCAGGCATGCAGAGAGCTCAGAGCTGGGCTCTAGCAACCAGGCTCTGGGCTGCTCTTTGGGTGCACAGCCCCCCTCTCGCTCCGATTTCTGCATTAGGGTGCTGTGCCGTTCCTGGTCGTTGCCACCTCTGGGACTACTGTTCTGGGGGCCTTCGACCCCCTGGAAGCAATTGCCGACTTGTGCCAGCGTCGCGGACTGTGGCTGCACGTGGACGTGAGTAGGACGTAGGCCTGAGGGTGGGGTGGGCTGCGCTGAGGACAAGCCCTTGCTGTTCCTTCTGCTACACAGGCCGCCTGGGGTGGAAGCGTCCTGCTGTCACAGACGCATAGACATCTTCTGGATGGGATCCAGAGGTGCCCACAGCCCCTGTGCCCGGAGTCCCACTGTTTAAATGCTTGTTCCGTAGAATAGTCACGGTCCAGGGAGCTTTATGGCAGTGGGGAAGCAGGTTGTTGTTGGTGGTGGTGGTGGGGGGGGTTTGGAGAGATGGTCGATTGGGGCTGGAGCTCAGGTGGCAGATATGGCTGCTGGGCGGGGTGAGACTGAAGCTCCTTTTACTGAGAGGTCTGGGAAGGGAAGGGAAGGGAAGGGAAGGGAAGGGAGCCTGGCTGGGCAGCTTGAGGAAGAGCCGGCTGACCCACCCTTGCTGTGCCCACCCCAGGGCTGACTCGGTGGCCTGGAACCCCCACAAGCTCCTCGTAGCAGGCCTGCAGTGCTCAGCTCTTCTCCTCCGTGACACCACGGTAAGCCTTCCCCCACCCCTGGCCTGGTCCCTTCTCACCTTAGACCTTGGCTCCTTTTCCATCCACCCTTAGAGGGGGTCCTGGCCTTGCTGTGTTCTAACTACCACTCCATCTGAAGCTGGGTGTCTGCGACCTCCCTGACTCCCGGTAGTGGGTTCTCTCCCCCCCACGGCCTGTCTTCAGGCAGAGGAAACGTTTCCAGCTTGAAGCTGTCGTTGAAGGGATCCGGGCTGAGTTTGGGAAGGACTCTGGGTGTCAGGAGAAAACCCAGAGCAAGGGGCCTGGGTCAGCCGGCAGCTATCCCATCAGGATACGTCGGCAGTGTACCTGGACCCCTGTGCTGGGAGCTCAGTGCCGCCTGGTCCAGGGGGAGGAATGGGCAGACGGAGCTAAGAAAGCACCAGAGGAAACCTGAGTGGAGAGCGTGGGGTCTGACAGTCTCCAACCCCCCACCCACAGAACCTGCTCAAGCGCTGCCACGGGTCGCAGGCCAGCTACCTCTTCCAGCAGGACAAGTTCTACGACGTGGCCCTGGACACGGGAGACAAGGTGGTGCAGTGCGGCCGCCGTGTGGACTGTCTGAAGCTGTGGCTCATGTGGAAGGCACAGGGCGGGCAGGGGCTGGAGCGGCGTGTCAACCAGGCCTTCGCCCTTGCCCGGTAGGAGTGGCGGGTGGCTCCGGTTCTCCTCCCCACGTCCCTTCCCCAAAGCCTGTTGCTGCTGTCAGTGCCTCCAGTCATTCTCTGGGTCTCTCTTTTCTCCCCTTCCCCCCCTCCTCCTGTGACTGCTCGCTCTCCCTTTGAAGATACCTGGTGGAGGAGATGAAGAAGCGGGAAGGATTTGAGTTGGTCATGGAGGTAAGACCAATCCTGTTCTCTTGGTTCCTGCGTCCTTGTAGCCTGTCCCCCACACAAAGCCCTGCTGGACGCACAGGAGCAGTGGAGAGGGGGACACTTTCACCGCTCACACCCTTCTCTTCCAGCCGGAGTTTGTCAACGTGTGTTTCTGGTTTGTGCCTCCCAGCCTGCGGGGCAAGCAGGAGAGTCTGGATTACAGCGAAAGGCTGGCTAAGGTAGGCTTTCTCCTCCCCGGGGCTCTGGCTAACCTAGTTGAGCAAATGCATGCAGCTGGTGTGTTTCTGCCCCCTGCCGGCTGTGGGTGGCGTGGCAGGTCCCTTGGCTGGTTTCCTGCTCCTGAGCTGGGGACATGAACTGGAAAACGCCAACTTGTCCTCATTTCTCGGGGATGTGGGTGGAGAATCGGGAATGTTTCTGGGAAGTAAGCAGAACACAGAGAGGACATTACAGGATGAATGTACATACACCCCTGTGCTGGGAGTTCAGATGCAGGACAGTGAGGCAGAAAGAGCTTGACTCATTGGTACTGGGAGAAAACAACAAGGAAGGCCAGTCCAGACCTGCCTCCTGGAGGTGAGGAGATATGTCCTCGGTCCCTAGGATAGGCTGTGGTAGGTGCTGCAGATGACCTGAAAGGATAAGATCGTTCTTGCCCTGAAGGAGTAATGTTAGGAAAACAAGAGTTACCTATTTGAAACCAGCGTGCCAAGGAAATCTTGTAAACATGCATGTCAGATCACAGAGTACAGAGCAAAAATATTACAGGAATTCAGAGGGGGAGGAGATGTTCAGAATGACAGAAGCTTGAAGTTTGACTAAAACCACGTTGGGAGTGAGGGAAAAGTTAGGATTTGACAAACAAGGTGACAACCTGTAAATACGTGAGGTAAGGAGCAAAGCAGATGGTAGAGAAGGACAAGCAGGTTGGACATGGTGGACAAGGTAAGCCGGGGCCCTGGTCAGGATCACAGCGGTGAGTGCTGCCTCAGGAAGGTGGCCGGGGTGGAGAGAAATGCATCTTGGGTAACTCGCCGGCCAGGAAGTTACTGGCCCAACCCTCACCTGACCCCAGGCTGCAGCTAGACACTCGTGTATCCTTCCACAGGTGGCCCCGGTCCTCAAGGAGCGCATGGTGAAGGAGGGCTCCATGATGATCAGCTACCAGCCCCACGGGACCCGGGGCAACTTTTTCCGCCTGATCGTGGCCAACCCGGCCCTGACCCAGGCCGACATGGACTTCCTCCTCAATGAGCTGGAACGGCTTGGCCAGGACCTCTGAGTCTCCTCTTCTCCGCCGGCCTTCGCACCTCCTTCCCCCCGCTGGCTCTGTAGTCCCTCCCTGTGTTCTCAGGACCCATCTTTTTAGGAAACAGCAGCCTGTTTATGTCCTTTGGCCTACTAACTCTCCTATTCAATATCTGACATTAGGAGAATGTTTAATGAACTGTAGTATATTCCTATGATGGAATGTTAGGCTGCTTTTAGAATTACGTTTACAAAAAGGGTGTTTAGTGATACGAGAAAAATAATTTTAATATAATGTTGAAAAATCTGGGTATAGTACTTTATATATAATAATAGCTGAGCTATATTAAAACATACATAGAAAAATATTAATAGTTTTACCTCAAATGATATTATAGGAAATTTAAAAATTCTTACTCTGGTCAGTATGAGTTGGTTGGGCATTGTCCCATGCACCAAAAGGTTGCCGGTTTGATTCCTGGTAGGGGGTGTGCAGGAGGCAGCCGATTGATGTTATGCTCTCACGTGAATGTTCCTCTCTCTCCCTCTCTAAAAAGTAAAAATAAATTTAACTTTTTATGCCTTTTGTGCTCCCTCCTTTTGTCATACAATGAATATGCATTACTTTTACAATAGAAAAATGATAAAGTTAAAATTTCAATTATATTATTATGGTATGATTAGGAGTTTGTTACCTTTCTTGCAAGTAATGGAGAATGCAAATTAATTTTTTTTTAAAGGCAGTGAAAGATCCCAAAAAATCTTTAGTGGGAGGGGAAAGACCAAAAGTGGAGTCACTCTAAAGTTAATTGTACTTTAGTGACATTGAAGCAAAATGGCACTGATTGTATCTTGAGACCAGAGCCTTATCCACTTACACTTAAAAATTCTCACCAACTTGGCTGGTGTAGCTCAATAGTTGAGCATCAACCTATGATTGGATTCCCGGTCAGGGCACATGCCCGGGTTGTGGGTTTGATCCCCAGGCAGGCAATGATTCTCTCTCATCATTGATGTTTTTTATCTCTGAAATCAATAAAAATATATTTTTTAAAATTCTTGCCAATAAAAAAAATTTCTTCTGTAATTTAAACAGAAACCAAAAAGAAAAACACACCCAAGAAACCAAGTTAAAAAACAGCAACCAAACCACTGTTACATCTCCTGTTGTTGCTACCGTCCTACATAAAAATACTCATTTTACACTTACCATTCCGGGCTGATGTTGCTCAGTCACTTTTTGGGAAAGGCGTTTAGTCACACAAGTTACTAACGACAAGTGGCAAGTCTACCAGAACTTTCTGTTATTTCCAATTCCTAAAAATAACATTTATGAAAACAATAACATAGTCATGTAAAAGTCATCCAAAGTTATTTTCAAAGGCAAGTAGAAACTGTCCAAACCATAGCAAAAGAACATCCAAGTTGCAGGCACAATTCTCTTGACCATTTGCGGGGGTCGGTAGGGAAACATTTCTATTAATTAATAATTCCCCGTAAACTTGTTATTGTTACAAATGGTATTTTAATATCTTCCAAATAATAAAATCATTTTGAGAATGTTAATAATTTGAACTCCCAGCTCTAATCTTAAAGAGATCTATGTTTGGTTAGGCTCAGTGGATAGAGCATCGGCCTGTGAACCCAAGGGTCCCGGGTCCGATTCTGGTCACGGACACTTACCTCGGTTGCAGGCTCCTCCCGGCCCAGGCCCTGGTCAGTACAGGAGGCAACCAATCGATGTGTTTCTCTCACATTGATGTTTCTGTCTTTCCCTCTCTCTTCCACTCTTTCTAAAATCAATGGAAATATATTCGTGGGTGAAGATTAAAAAGAAAAGTCTATATATACACAAAATGTCTTAAATATAGTTTTTTTTAAAAAGCAAACGAAAAAAAAAATTCTTATTTTCAACTCAAAGCAAAGCCAGAAAGCAAAAATAAAAAGCAAATCTTCAAATTCCTTGAATCATCTCCATTTGGTAAATATTTTTAAGAGAAGGAAGGTCAGAAAGACCGGACATAAAATCAGCTAATCACCTATTTTTCTCCAGCTTTATAAAATTGATGCTTCTTTTTCTCTGTTCCCAAAATTCACCCTCGGAATCTGTGAATGTGATGTTACAGTCCCTCTCCTGCTCCCTGTCTCCCATGGACATTCACTGAGCTCCTGCTCCGTGTAGTTCTTTGCTCTTCCTCCAAAGAGCTTAAGGCTTAAGCAGTCATTCATCCTCAAGCTTGGCACATCCTTGCTCAGGGGCCTTGGTGCCTGATGTCCATCCCCTTCTGCCCCGGTGTTCACTCATCTACATGGTTTGCTCCCTCGTTGCCTTTAGTTTTTGTTCTGACATCACATCCTGAATGAAACCTCCCTTGAATATTCTACTTAAAATACATTTTCACCCTCTATCTTTGCACTCACTAATTCCCTCACTTGTCCTGTTTTTCCCCACGGCCTGGATGCGCATCTGGCATACTCTATATTTCAGTTATTTTCTGTCTCACCCAACTAAAATGTAAGCTCTGGGAGCAGAGATGTTGTATCACTGGCTCCTAACATGGAGCCCAGTCCTTCCTGGTGGATGAAGGTGAGTGAACGCTTAATGAATCCCAGGTTCTGTTGTTGACTTGCTCTCAGTCACACAACTTTAAAGTGTTGGGGTCAAAGCCAAGCTCGGACTACCTTCCTCCGGCTGGTCACCATGGACCTAGCCTGCTCCTGTTGACAGGTGTATGTTATTCATTGGTGTGAGTGTTAGGGGCAGTTTATTAATCATATTCTGTGGGTTTACTGCTTACGGGAAGGATGAAGCAGCTTTACCCAACCATCTTGCCCTTGGCCTGGGGAAGCTGTATTTCCGTCACACAGGAAACAGGTCATTGGGAATATCTGGGCTGGTTGCAATGTTGAAGTGTTGTGTGTGTGTTTGTTTTTTGTTTCGTTTTGTTTTTAAAGCGGTCACAGTGTTCAAGAGGCTAGCCTTCCCGCCTGTCTAACAAGAAAGACGGTGCCGCACAGGGAAGCAGCCCAGCAGGTGGAGGTGAGGAGCTGGGCGGGGCCCCTGTGCTGGGGCAGCTCTCAGGAAGTGGATGAAAGGGAGTGAGCAACAGTAAGTCAGAATTTGACCGGATACTTCTTCTTGTGAACCCTCGGTCCTCATTTGGCTATTCGTCTTCTGCTCTGTACCTTTAAAAAGCCTTTTTATTTTGAAACTTATAAAAAATTGCAAGGATAGCTGCAGAGAACTTCCATACTCTTTACATATATTGATAGATTTTCACGTTTTGACAAACTTTATCTTGACATTTGTGCTATAATATATTTTTTCTGAACCATTTGAGTCGATTGCATACATTATGCCCCTTTATTTCTTAATGCTCTAGTGTGTATTACCTAAGAACAAGAATACTATCTTAAATAACAACAGCACAATGGCCAAATTCAGGAAATTTAACACAGACACTACACTTTAAAGTCCATATCCTAAAATTTGTCAATTGTCTCAATAATGCCCTTCCTAGCATTTCCCCCTTCAGTTCCAGATCCCAGCAGAGAATCATGCATTGCATTTTGTTGCCATGTCTTGTCTCCTTAAAATAATTAAAATAATTAAATAATTTAAATAATTTATCAGCTATTCTTTGTCATTAGTGGTATTGCCACTTAAAAAAAAATACAGGTCCCCAAGAAACTAGAAACACCAATCAGAAAGGATATATGCACCCGTATGTTCATAGCGGCACAATCTACATTAGCTAGGATTTGGAAACAGCCAAGGTGCCCGTCAGCGGATGATTGGATCAAAAAAACTATGGTACAGCCAAAACCGGTTTGGCTCAGTGGTAGAGCATCGGTCTGCGGACTGAAGGGTCCCAGGTTCGATTCCAGTCAAGGGCATGTACATCGGTTGTGGGCACATCCCCGGTAGGGGGTGTGCAAGAGGCAGCTGGTCGATGTCTCTCTCTCATCAACGTTCCTAGTTCTCTATCTCCTTCCCTTCCTCTCTGTGAAAAATCAATAAAATATATTAAAAATAAATAAATAAAAATAAAAAAACTATGGTACATCTATACAATGGAACACTATGCTGCCATAAAAAAGAAGGGATTCTCATCATTTGCAGCAACCTAGATGGAACTGGAGAACATCATGCTGAGTGAAATAAGCCAGTCAATGAAAGAGAAACACCACATGACCTCACTCATTTATGGATAATGAACATTATAAACTGACGAACAAAAAGATAGATATAGAGACAGTAAAGCAACAAGCAGACTGTCAAATTACAGCAGGGAGGGTAGGGAGATCTGGGGGAGATAAGAGATCAACCTAAGGACTTGTATGCATGCATATAAGTACAACCAATGGACACAAAACTCTGGGGAGGGAGGGTATGTATGGGGGGGGGCAATGGTAAGATATGTACACAGATTATTATTAGCTCTATCTACTAAGCTAAACCGGTCTGTGTACATATTTAATAAAAAAAAATAGGGGGGAAAATAAAAAATATATTTAAAAAATACAGGTCAGTTATTTCATAGAATGTTCATCAGTTTGCTTTTTCCTGATGTTTCCTCATGACTAGATTCAAGGGACGCATTCTGAGCTGTAATCTGACATGAATCGTGTTTGTCCTTTTCAGAGAAGCACATCAAAGGCCCACAGTGTCCATCTGATCCTTATTGGTGATGTAATTTTGATGAAGGTCAACATTGGTCAAGATGTTGTCTGGTTTCTCTGAAATATAGTTACTATTTCGCCCTTTGCAACGAATAAACAATCTGTGAGAAGATATTTCGAGATTATGCAAATATCCTGCTCCTCTTCATACTTTCTCTACCTAGATTTAGCATCCACTCATGAAACTTGCCCAAGCGAACTTTTTTTTTTTTAAATAAATATATTTTATTGATTTTTCACAGAGAGGAAGGGAGAAGGATGGAGAGCTAGAAACATTGATGAGAGAGAAACATCGACCAGCTGCCTCCTGCACATTCCCCACCGGGGATGTGCGCGCAACCAATGTACATGCCCTTGACCAGAATCGAACCTGGGTCCTTCCAGTCCTCAGACCGACGCTCTATCCACTAAGCTAAACCGCTCTCGGCCCAAGCGAACTTTTATCATAATGGTTCCTAAGTGGCAATTGTCTAAATCCACTAATCCCTCCAATTTTATTATTTGACATTTGGCTATAATGAAGAGCCCTCTCTTCTATTTATTCATTCATTCCTCCATTGATTATTGATATGTTTTATTCAAAAAGTTATAACACATTTCTATCTTTACTTATTTTAATGCTCAAAT